GAGATGAATTAGCAAGGCTCACTGGTTATCCGTCCTATGCTCACAGAGCTCAAGAGAATAGCTTGTTAGGTTCATATGAGAACGCTCACGATTTTCTATGGGGCGTCATACAGGTTATTCTTTTCTTTTTTGAGTTCTCTCTTATAGGAGGCGTTTTTGGAAAGCTTTGAATATTTCAGGCTTGCCGGCCTGCCGCGGAGCGGGAGATAGCTGTTCTATTGGATGTGCAATCACAATGCAGTTCATTATTTAGTGGTATAGGCGAATGGGACATACATTATCTCACTCAGATTTATAAGGTGCTTTGTTCTCGCTTTTTATTTCGTATATGTACATCGAAATTATGATTCATCCGAGTTGCTGCTTTTTTCTTTTTATCCAAAGTGAACATGGATCCAATCCCTTAATTAATCTGCTTTCTGACCCTCATTACTTCTTTGTCCTTACTTTTATAGATTTTTTAAAGGGTCTGGTACCAAAATCCCAGTATAAATTTTCAGCCCTCATTCGCTGCGTGATGTGACTCTATTGGTAAGCAATCATTTTCAGGAACGTGCTTATGGAATCGAGCATTATGACGAGATAAGCAAATTTCTAAATCTTGGAAATTTGCTTAGCGGTCTTGCGAATCTTCTAAACAAGCTGTATGGAGTAAGAATTGAGGAACGGCCAATAGAACGAGGAGAAATGTGGGATGGTAACATTATAAAGTTGGTGGGTTGAATTTTCTCACATCAGGGTTTGATTGCCCAAGAACTACGGGTGAAGGGCAGAATGGCTCTTGTCTGATTACCAGCTGACGAGTACCCATTTCATGTGCTTCAATTATTTCCATGTTTTAAAATTCAACAACGAAGTCTGTACAACTGAAACACAGTAAGGCACCTAACCGTTGAAGGATCATAAACATATCAGCTACGAACAGATTTTCGAAGCTACGAACTTGCACAAATGCTGAGTGCTCATTAAGATTACACTCTGTGTTAAAGCTATTTGTTTAACGGTCATGACGATCTTTTTGAGATTATTATCATTTTCCAAGTCGCACGAACACGACATAATCTTGATAAGCAGTTACTAAAAAGTCGTTATCAAAATTTGAGTTGTAATCAACTCACTTATCACACGATTAACTTTTGGAGGGCATAATAATTTTTGACTCTTTATCGGAATGCGATTCTAGATCATTTTTAAATTAAATTATGAACAGTACATTTATCATTCAACATTCGCAAGTTTAGGATGTCAATAGTGCTGACGATCAGTTTCTTGGGACTGTGTACCTAGATATTGATAGGAGGCCCACGAAAGCTGTTGGTGATTGTCACTTCACTGTACGATGTTCAAAACAGGTATATAATATGGCTCATTCTTCTCTGAATTGATTTAGAGCGAATGGTATTCTTCGGAAATGTATTCTTCATTTTAGTTGAAGGACAATAGCTGGCAAACTCCAATAGTGGTTTTATCGTTGGCGATTTGCGACCGAACTGATGTTGACTGGAGATCTGTCCCGGTAAAGTTCGCTTTCACAAGTCAATTTTTGCCCAAGAAGTCCAGATAGATTACTTTTCCTCAAAACTGATGATGCCGTAGTCTGTAGATATAGGTTCATCTATAATAGATACTAATATGTCTTCTAGAAAAAATTCTCATTGATTCCCACCGTTTTTCAAAATATTTTCAGTGCCCTCTCTCGGTCGCAGCGATTTGGTTTTTTTTTACTTTTCCGAGTTATAAATTTTGCAGTATCTTAGCTAGAGAAAGCTTACCTAGCGCATATGGATTTTCTTCCCTTCATCCGCTGTATCTCTTCTCGCTGTCCCCTGCCCATTTTGGAATTGGTGATCTCTGTCCATTTAGGCCCTTGTCCCTTAGATCGCATTTTGTTTAAATGTTGATTGAGTGAAATCTCAACTTCTTCCACTGCAATTTTTCTCAACCTCTTACGCAACTTGGGCTCTTGATCCTGTAGCTTTTGATTTTATCTCTGCTCACATCGCAGGTTACCTTACTCCTTTTTTACTCTCTATCCATTTTTTCTTCTTCCAAAGCACAACTTTTCACTATAGCCCCCCCCCCCCCCCCCCCCCCCAACACCTCAACCATAGACATTGAACCTTACACTCTCAAAACAATTTAAGGAACAATTTACAATATCCCCCAGTTTGATTTCAATGCCGCCTGTGACAAAGAAAAATCTTTTGATAGTTTGCTGTACCAATAACTGCACCTAGCGCTACCTTTTAATTTTTCATTTGGTGTCTGCAATGAAGGTTTGCTTTAGATTGATATGCATCGGGCAGAAAATGTTTTCCATGAAATGGGTCATGCGATGCATAGTATGTTAGGAAGGACACGGTATCAACACGTTGCAGGTGAATTTGGCAAAGTTTCTTGAGGTTTCTATAAAAATACTCATTATTTGAGGCACGCGATGTCCACAGGACTTTTCTGAAATTCCGTCTATACTAATGGAATACTTCTTCAACGATCTAACGGTATGTTTAATTCATGCTCAATGACTAAATCGAATAAAGTGCTCATTTTCATCAATCAGAAATTCTGTCGTAGCTTGGCTACGCGGGCAGCGTTGAGTACCTTACACCGTTCTCCTCATCTCTCCCTTCCTCTCAGATTATGTTCAATTCACTGTATCGTGTTTTCAGCTCTAACTTTAACCAATATTCAATTATTTTTTACCTTTTTGGTTTAATGATCACTTCAGGTTCTACAATCTGTCCTTCGTAACTCTGATGGTGAATGTGTGCGCATTGAAGACGCAGCGTCCATGATAGCATCAAGATTTGCTTTCTCATCATTGGAAATCATGCAACAGGTGAAAATTGGGTAGCTTTAATATTTTTAAGAGTCATCTTTCGCTTCGTTCACGAATGTGGTCTTTGCCCATAAAAGTTTCTTACACTCTGGTTTCTAAGTAGAAGTTCCCCACCTTTTCTGCTTGTTTTCCAAAACCCTGCAATATACTAGTGTTTGAGCTTCAAGAATTTGGATTCGGACGACAATTCTCGTTTCACATAAACAGTTAAACGTGTATATTCATATTTGTTATAGGCCTCATATGCACTGTTTGATTTGGAACTACATGCACCTGATGCAACGAAACTTCTTCGTGAAGGTCGCATCACTACGACGGATCTCTTCCATTCTATAATTACCAAGGTACTACATTGAGTGCATCAGTACATTAGTACCATTACGGTTTGTGAGAAGTGAACTCACATCAGCCGAAGTGAAAATCGTAGTTACTCCCACTTCAGGCTCTGCCGCACTTGGATCGTCAGGCAGATTCAGCTTTTCAACATCGGTAAGGGCAGTTTCTTCAAGTCATTTCAGAATTTGTATTTACATCTTATTCTTATACTCACCACTTCGGTGATTCTTTTTCTCTGCTAGAGACCATCCGTTTCTTAGATTTGAGTCTTTTACATACTGTCCGTTCAGTTGATCACGTTGTTGATCACGTTCGAAAAAAAACTTCCCTGAACTTTTTTATCATTGCTTTGGTCATTAACTGGTACTTATTTTTTTAAATAGGTTTCACCACCTGGTACAATATGGCGCCAAATATTACTCGTACATGGTAGCAAGGTCCGCTGCTAGCCTAATATGGAACTCGAAGTTCAGAGACTCGCCGTTCAGCAGAACTGAAGGGGAGAAGTGGATGAAGGTAATGTTCTGTTTATAGAGTACAGTTGAAGCTAAAGTATTTTTTTCATTTTATCTTTTAAAAGTATTCCTTTTCAAGGTCCAGTCTCATGGTGGAGGGTTGCCCTCGGCAGTTTTACTGGAAACTATGTTGGGTTATTCTCCAACTTCCATGCATTTTATTGACGCGCTCAAAAAGGAGACCTCTCATCTTGCGAATCTCGGTGCTGTAAATGTTTAAATATCGTTGTTT